GTGAACGTTAGGTTAAATCTTTGTTTAATTATGTTTTTTGTTTTTTAATAGTTAAAAATAGAAGGTTCTATTGGAGCGTTAATTTAATTAGGAGTGCTTATAGTCAATGGAAAGTTTTGGAGGCCAAGTCTAACTATTTTTATGGTCAGCTTTGAATAGAGGTCTCGTCACCAAATATGTATTGGTTGTCGAACAGATGAGCCACCTTATTAGAAAAATTGGCTTAATTTTGGATTTGTATATAGCTAAATCCCTCTGCACTTAGATTACACCATCAAAGTCAACAAAGGGTGACTCACGTTTTCGGTGGAATTGTAGAGTTGTATGGTAGGTTAGGTGTATTTTCGGAAAGAAATATAGCGTTTACATGTGTGCAGAAACTTTTATTTAACTGCTGGTAGTAGGTAAAACGAGAACTTAGAAAAAAAGTTTCCAGTGTGAGAAGAGCATCAAAAGGGGTTGACTAAATGATTATGGTAACAAGGGATCAAAATGACAAAAAAATGAACAATCTTAAGAGTTTTTGGGTGGCTCGAGCAGTATTTCCAAGGAATACAAGTAGTTGTTTGGTATTCAATTCGAAAAATAATTCATAGTTTTCGAAATGATTAACATAGCTACGTTATTAGTAATAATTGGTTTCAGAAACCAAAAACATTGAATCAAACATGGGTACCAAACTAATCCATTAATTGTTTGCTGTTTATGCAAACAATTGGCTCTAACTATACTAGATCCCTTCCCTCTGCTTCCTAATTTTTCATGGGACCAGATAGCTCACACCCGAATTTTAGGCCCGGGTTTTCTAACACATACGCCTAATTAAACACGGTTTACGTCTAATCATCTAAAACAAAGAGCAAGCTAGGAGTTCCATATGTGTAATTTATAAGTGAATGACAAGGGACAGACGTACCTCCGCCTTGACTTGAAGTACTATTTCCATTACATGTGGATGCATAGGCTCGATCTGCGCAGAAGCAACGGAATCCAGAATTAGTAGTATTGTCAAGCCCACACTGTCCACCTGATCCCAAACATTTGTCGCATTCATCGTTGTCAATCTCCAATTGCAGTGAGAAACCCCCCTCTACCGCATCGGTGACAATTGTTTGACTGGGCATAGTGGCGGCCTCTATAGCAAGAGCAGCTTCTTCATAAACGGGAACAATAACCTCATGTGTACAGCTCACAGAATATGCCTGACCAACTGTCACCGGTTGTGTCACATAGTAAACAGGGTTCACTGTATTGCTTATGTTGCAGGACTGCGGACTAGGAAGCGTTATGGCGGCAAAGCATTGGTAGTAAAACGTCATGTTTCTATAACCAGAAACATAATCAAACAGAGAGAAGTTGAGGGTGGTGTTGACAAAAGTCTGAGGACAAATAGTACCCCAGTAATCGTTCCTAGCGACCTTAACGGTCCGAGAATTTGTAGTGTTCATTTGGAGAATTCTATAGCTCGCACCCTTCATGTTGAACACAGGGAAGTTGTTTAGGCATTGGACCTCAAATCCGGGTTGACCACAGTAACTAGCTCGGTTTACCCCCCAAAAGGGATAGGATATGCCTCCGACGCTACCACAAGTGATATTGCTGCTGCAGTTTGTGAATTGTTGATTCTGGCATAGACTTAACTCGACGTTGATCGAAAGGAAGGAAGCGATCAAAAGAAATGGAAACAACGATTGGAGCAGAAAGAAATGCATGATGGATGTTGGAGGAAAACTCTCAGCAAAGAGATTGGAGCATCAGATGGAATGGGGAATTAGTACAAGGAATAATATATATATATATAAGTTGTTCAAACTTCCAAGTCATGAAATGTAAGCCTTTGAAATATTCAATGAAACAGTGGCCTCTCTTGTTTCTGCTATGAGTTTTCTTCTCATATTTTTTTCAACATTCCTATCTGAATATCTTGCACACCGGCGAATCCGAAGACGCCTCGTACTAGTTTAATAATATTTGTAGGAAATTTCCTAGCCCACTCGGAATGATCTAATTAGAGGTATTTTTATATTGAGGTATGAAAAGTATGTCGTTCCAGCCTTCCAGAAGCTATACGCAAAGTCAAGGGGTGATGGAGTCATTGAAAGCCGTCGAACTAGAAGGGTAGTTATAATAAAAAGGAGAAAATTATTTTCACCTTTTTTTAATTTTATTACTACATTACAAATGTAAGGAAAATGCCATGATGAAAACAATAAACAAGAAAAGATTCCTCAAGTTGTTCTGTGTGAGAGGGAGAACCCCATAAATAATACGACAGGGATAAAATGTTTAAAAAAAAAATTAAAGTGTTATTTCTAATCCACTGTCTCATTTCTCAATTTAATTTTAATCAAAATTTTAATTATAATTGTTCATTTTCAAAGTAACCGATAAGGATCTTGAAATATATATATATAACGATAAAAGGTTGGGCACAAAAATGTAACAAGAGCCTTAGATTTACATTGAGTTGTGAAAGGAATGGACGATATGTGAACCAAATTTGCAAAAACAACTTATAAAGGATGAAGACGGAAGGAATTCTAAAATGAAAAAGTGTGGATCGATACCCTTTCCAATCAAATGGTAAGAAGTTAGAACTGATGATGGTTGAATATTTATGTTAGACACTGGAGTGCATAATCACACAACTACGAAGCATTTGGAGGGTTGTTGATTTCCTGGTAGAATTATGGAATGAAAAAGTGTAGACGCTCTTTCCAATTAAAAGGTAAGAAGTTAGCAACTGATGATGATTGGATATTGATGGTACTTACTAGAGTGCATAATCACACAACAATAGAGCATTTGGAGGGGTCATTAATTTGCTAGTAGACCATTGTCGGAGAAGACTTCGTTGTTGGAGAAATGGAACTTCAGTTTTTCAGAAATACTATATAATGAGCGGAGAAATGGCATATTAGAGATTGGTTAGGAAGGCTATGTACGTGCGAAGTTACGCGCTTTGTTAGGCTTGGGTCAGTTTTTGCAGGAGGGGATTTTGAAATCTTGATTTGCATATTTGGCTATGTGTAATTAGGTTTTGATTACCTTTCTTGTAGTACACACAATTGTAATCCTATTTATAATTTTTTATGGAGAAGAATACATCATACAGAAAATTCACATAAACTATAAAATTAAGTAATTGATAAATGAAAAAAGTGTGGAGTTTTTTTTTATTTTTTATTAAACAATATTATCTACAGGGACAGGAAAGTAGGCTAAGCCTCACACTTAACTAGTTATAATAATGTGGTTTAAATTCACCTTTGATGATAATCAAACACGGAGTTTGAATTTAAGTTTCTCTAAGTTTGGATTTTTCGTAAGAGATTGTCCAAAAATGTATATCAATTTCAAACAGGGAGAGATGGACCTCATACGCTGTCCTCACGCACATTGAGTACAAAAAATAAAAAAATAAAAACTAAAAACCAAAAAATAAAGTGGTAATCGATCAGACTCTAAAACTCTTAAAAATATCCCAATCCCTATCATGTTCCTATAATCTATTGACAAACCAATTAAGTAAGGATTAAGACACAGCCGGTTCATCTTTTCCAACTTCAGACAACTTCATTATAATTTGAAAGGGACATGCCCTCAAACTTTGACAAATATCAGCACTAATTTGACCACTAAACTACGTGACCCCTAATTGTTATGGAAGGTTAATGTTAATTATCTGCCTAGCTAAAGTAGATTAGCAATTTAAACCACATTTGTAAATTGTGTGATAATGTTAGGGAGATCAAAATTTTAAATCAAATTTATAAACTAAATGATGTGTGTCAACAATAAAAAAAAAAAATAAGCACATTATCGACACTTAATTAAATAATTCAATCATCAACAAGTAACAACCACGTTTGGTTTGCATAATTTGATTTAAAAGTTTGGTCTCCCTAGTATTATCCATAAATTATGTGATGTGTCATCAATAGAAAATAAGCACGTAAATCAATACTTAAGTAATACCTGCATAAATTGTAATTATGGTTAAAAAAAGGTGTTGCACAAAAATCACTTATGAGTATATTTTTTTCCTTTGATAAACTGGTTGTGAAAAGAGCCTTACATAATTTTGATTTTATTTATTTATTATTATTTCTTTAGATGGTTTAATATGCTAAATTTGTACAGTTGACAACAATTTCATTTGTTTTCAAACATTTTATTACCACGATCACATTGCTAATCACTCTAATTTTGTCTACATACGTATGGAGTCCAAAAAGTGCCTAAAATATTCTTAAAATTGACAGTGACTGAAATATTCTAAACAATATATACAGTCCCACAGTCCCTGCTTGGTATAATTAGTACTTTCAACACTCTTCCTAGCCACTCTCTAATTCTCCAACATCGGTTAGTTTGTTCAAGCAATTTCTAACCGTATATGCTCTCCCATTCCCTCAATTTGGCATGGGTTTAATGAAGTCACATAAGTCCATGGGACAAAACAAAGTAGTGTAGCCGGTTTGCACACATAATTGTATGGTACTGATGAATGTTTACCTACTTCGAATGGAAGTCGGGAATGATGAAATTGAGAGTCCACCATAAAACCAATTGGCAATATGAGGAGTAGCCCAATACCATATAAACACATAACAAACATTGTTCCTCACCAATGTGTGACAACTCTCAACAGGGAATAGGATCCCACTACCTTATTCTAATCAATCTAATTCTTAATTTTCTTTAGATATTGAAATACGGACTGTAATGTGGAGATCACTACATGTATCCTGTACGTATGTGGAAGTCATGAATCGTAATAATTCCAATAACTATGATCTATGCAAGTATTGAAAGTCCGAAATCCAGTTGATGATCACTATACCCAAAAAAGTTTGATGTAAGGAACTCAGTTGCCAAAATTGTTTAGCCTACTGATATTTCCTTTCCCTCTAATTAATTGTAGGACGAGTTAAGGATTCAAGTTACTAGAAAGAAATTCAGCTTAAAATGCAAAATCAAGCACAGCTATTGGGTTCTTAGTTCATACCTTTAGCAGGTGGCAGTGGCACTGCTGCTGGATTGTTTATGGCCGCTGTTGTGGCGGCGGAACAAGTCCGGGACTCGGAAATTTGATTTGGGCAGTGACAAACAGTCTCATTCAAATTCCAACCACAAACACCCCTTGAATCAACACACTCGTCACATTTTCCACTATCCACCTTATACTTCACCTCAAACCCTTCTCTCACTGCAGCTTCAAGTGCCGTCACGTTCAGTATACTGAATATTCCGAAACCTGCAGGATCACTAATCCGAACAACCACCTTTGACTTACAAATCGGAGTGCCCGGGACAACTGCAGGTACTGCAGCCACATTCGCGTAAGTTTCGTTGTCGGGGCACTTGAAAGCTCCAGCTGGTGAGCTAGAAGCACAATCATAGAGTAACGTGACATCCGAAGAACCGAAAACATAGTCGAAAAGATTGGAATCGAGTTTGGTGTCCCCAAACTTTGGTGAACAAATTTTGTCATAGTAGTCATCTCTCACAACTTTGAGTGTCTGTTCATCTTGGTTAATCATCAACAATCTGTATTTGACCCCCATAATCTCAATGGTGGTAACATCATTCGAGCATGCGAGCTTCAGTTCCGGATAGCCACAATTGTCCGGCCTTCCATCTCCCCAAAAGGGAAATCCCACTTTTGTGATGCCTCCACAGTTAAACGTATTGCTACAAGTTGTGTACGAATCGAAGCTTGAGGAAAAAGGAATGCTGATGAGAACAAAGAAGGCGAAATGGGATGAGTAAAAAGGCCAGGAATTCATATTTGGGGGAAGAGAGTGCTTGATAGAAATGAAATGTAAAGAGTTTGGTAGTTGTGGTTGGAGGTGGGGCGACACTTACGAGGAAGGAACTGGAGATGAGCTAGTGACGTTATGGGAAAAGCTTATTCAAAGATGGGGATAAATGGGACAAATTATGAGTACTCCATGAGGTTTTGTTGACTTATTCTTTTTTAAATGCTTTATATACAATCGAGAGTTCTAGAGTTCGACTAATTAAGATACACAATAGGCTAATTATATTTAGTATCGTATTCATTATTTAAGAGAGTCGAACATAATATTTCTGACTTACACGTAGAGTGAAGTGAAACAACGATAATTTGGTATTGAACAAACTAAGATAATCAACTATTGAATCGTTGTGTAGAATGGCTCGTGTGGTTTTGTTGACTTGATCAAAATGTGTCATTTAACGCAAGGCAAAAATTCTTCACCTCTGCGTGTGATTTTCATCGATTGGGGTTATCTGCTACAAGTCAAGCCAAAATAATTAAGTACGAGAGATTTTTTAATGTGATAATCACACGGGATGGTACATCACGTATCGTTATATAAATTGTGGGATAAAATTAATAACTTAAAAAATAAAATTTTCCACCATTTAAATAAAAATATGTAATATACCATCCGTGTTTCCGTCACAATTAAAAATTTCTGATTAAGTACAAGCGTTTCCCAACAAGCAAAGACACCCAGCTTTTAATGGCCTCACAAATTACATCGCGTCGGTTCATCCAACTCCCACCAACCTGATCACGTACGGTCTTGCAACGGTAGTTGGCTCTTAATTAGAAGATATTATGATATAAAATATCCATAATATCCTGATATTTTCATTGAAATTTCCGTGTTTTTGGACTACTGATATTTTTTTGAACTACCGATATTTCCGATATAATCGATATTTTAGACCTTGCTAAGTCACTCATGTATCTTACCATGCATTGTATAAATTGTAAAATATTGTACTAATTCATTATATATAAATAATTATGGTGTGTTTAAATTTCTTTCATTAATTACTACATATTTTCTACACTCACAATGTTTGCCAGCTCGCTATATAATCAACTTAAATCAGTTATATCTATCATGCAATGCATTTCCTTCCAATTTTTTGTGATAAACTAATAGATAATTGACTAAATAAACATCCTGCAAAGTTTCAATAAAAATTTTCAAGTTTTTCTTACATTTTCCGTGGTTTTTATTCAATTTTTATCGATATCGATAATATCCCGATATTTCCATCGAAATTTCCGTGTTTTTGGACTACCGATATTTCCGATATCATCGATATTTTATACCTGGTATTTAAGGGGTATGTTGTCCTTCTTTTTATTTGTTATTTTAGAAATATTGGTAAAAATTAACTCACACCAAAGTATATAAATATTATTACTTCCCAGCACTTTCTTTTGATCACACTCACCACATATATCTTTAAGCATAACGTGAAATAAGAGATAAAATTTGAAGAAAATAACTCATACGGAGCAGATCTACAAATCCTAGCAAACACAACCCAAATTCACATAGATCCCCCATTGTCAGGAGCACATATATTTAACTGAAAAGTATAAACATGTATCAAACGAAAACTAAAAAGTGAAAATTCTAGCTACATCATTCTAAAATATTTTGTATTACGATTTTCTAACCAACTTAACTTGTGAAATTGAAAGCATTCACAAAGTCTCGTTTCAGGCTTGGACACTATACAGCAGATGCAATTGAAAGAGAAAATAAGAAAATTGCTACTTATCTTTTAAGACGAATGGTATAGAAAGGGAAGTGAGAACGTGACATTTTGAGGTTTGTCGCGTGTTGACCAGATCTTCATCATTTGGAAGTGGTTCTTGCTCAGTTGCTAGGTGTTCGCGTCAGGAATTTCCGACATGGACGTTTCCTGGCCGACGAGCGCACAGCTCCCCGGGAGGTTGGCGCCGGTTGAGGGCTGCTGTCGGGCTTTTGCTTCACTATCGGACTTTGTCGGGCAAGGCTCGTCGGGCAAGGCTTATCGGGTAAGACTCGTCAGGCACGGCTTGTCGGGCAAGGCTGGAAGAGAAGGACGGCGTTAACTTTGAGAGGTGCCTTTGTGGGGCCTTAGGTGTAGGCCTTGAGGCTCACAATCAAGATTAACTTCTAAGTACTCAGGCGTGCAACTGCCATCTTTAGCATGGCAGATGTAAAATGGATGTCGCGTTTTAGTTGTATATATATATATATATATATATATATATATATATATATATATATATATATATATATATATATATATATATATATATGCCCGAGAAACCGTGTTAGTTATAACAGGTGCCTTTGTGGGGCCTTAGGTGTAGGCTTTGAGGCTTCCCATCAATAACTAAACCAGTGCTTGAACATATAATATTCGTTCGATTGATTGCAGGAGCCTTACAACTATTATACTTCTGATTACCCGAATCTGAGAGATAGAACGAACCCAAATAGGTGCCTTTGTGGGGCCTTAGGTGTAGGCATTGAGGCTTCCCATCAGAATTCGTTCTTATACTCAAACGTTCTAGACCGCGGAACGGAATGAATCCAAATAGGTGCCTTTGTGGGGCCTTAGGTGTAGGCCTTGAGACTTCCTATCAGAATCCATTCCATGCTTAAGCGTTCTATGATAATCATAATATAATAGAAATAAAACTAAGGGGTAGGTCGATTACTTGCGCCCCAAGTAACTTCGGACTTCTTGTTTATCAAGGACTATCGTGGATGGGTTAAGTCCACATAAGGTTCTTTTTTATGCCTTGAGGCCAAGGACTTTCAACTGATCAAATTTACATGCCCGAGGGCTTAGAACTTAGATCTGGTTTGAACAATGAAGATATATTCAAATCGGATCCAAGTACTAAGAGATTCTTTTAATAGTCATCTTACTAGAAATAACTTGAATACAACTGGAAGTATACCACATATTGCTAGGCTAATGAATGAAAAGACAAAGACAAAGAAGGTCGGGCAAGGTTTAACCTTGTCGGGCAAGCCTGGTCGTCTTGCAGGTTCTTGTCTTTGTGGCTTATCAAGGGCCTGAGAGCTTTTAGGGAGAAGTAAGGAGAGGAGTTTACAAAGAGAAATCGATACTACAGCAAGGTTGAACAGGGTAGCAGAGCTATTACAAGGTTTTAGTGAAGGCTTGTCCCGAGAGGGATGAAGGCTTGGGCTGACTACAGCTTCGTTTTGAAGGCAAATCTGGCTTTGAGCAGAGTTTGTGCTTGCATTTGTTTGTTTGTTTGAGTGTCTGCATTTGTTTGTTTGTTTGAGTGTCTGCATTTGTTTGTTTGTTTGAGTGTCCTTAATCCTGACTTCTCTTTCTTCTTTTATAGACAACTCAGCTTGGCCTCTTGTAGCAGCAGCCTTGCCCGAATGCAACTTGAAAGGCAGTGACTCATCAGCTTTTTTACTTATTCTGCCATTATAAAGTACTTTATGGGCTGTATAGCTGGTCAATCTATACCACTTGGCCTTTGCGTAGGTGAGCAAGTGGTCTTCATGAGCTGCACCAAGTCAGAAAAGCCATTTTCTGCTTTCTTGGCTTTGGCTGGGCTTAGGCTGTTTCTTCCTTTAGGCATCCTTTTGGGCCAGCCCTTTTCCTGAGCCCAAAATTCAAGTTTTGATCCAAACACTAGGGTTTTGTTTTCACATTACCTCCTTCAAAATTGTGGTCCACTCCTCTTGAGTTTTAAAATTGTAAATTTTGGGCTTTGATGCTACATTTGATACAAAAGACAAACCCTTGGGCCTTCTTTCGGCAAACAAACAACAAACTTTTAGGTTTATAAAAAATTAAGTTGTCACTTAGTATTACGGTCTAGTGGTATTCCTCTTCAATTGTAAGTGAGAGGTTTTAGGTTCGATTCTCGCCAAAGGCGAGTTTGAACCACATTATTGCTAGCACATTGTTAGGCTAAGCTCACCCCATCTCCTTAATGTAGATAATATCGTTTGTTCAAAAAAAAAAAAGAAAGAGTTTTTGTAAGATCCCACATCGCCCGGGGAAGAGGAGGTGATGTGCCTTATATGTACATGTCCACCTCCCTATAGTAAGAAGCTTTTTGGGTGGAAACTCAAGAACAAATCCTTGAGGGCGTGGCCCAAAGCAGACAATATCTTACTATGCGGATTGGGATGTGACAATTTGGTATCATAGCCACTTTCCGGCCGGAAGTGTGCCGACGAGGGCATCGGGCCCCTAAAGGGGGTGGATTGTAAGATCCCACATCATCCGGGGGAGAGGAGGTGATGTGTCTTATATGTACATATCCACCTCCCTATAATAAGACGCGTTTTGGGTGGAAACCCAAGAACAAATCCATGAGGGCGTGATCCAAAGCGGACAATATCTTACTATACGAATTGGGATGTGACAGTTTCTCCAGTATAGATCACCAAATACCAATACCTAAGAAGCACTAGTTCGACAAATTGGTGCCGAACTCCAGTCACAAGCGATTTGAAGCAGCTTCAATATGGCTAAATAATGGAGTGGAGCTGTTTAGAACGGCTCGATTCGCCAGATTTAGTTGACGCATGACTGAGTTAGCAGTGGCGACCTCACTCGCGATGAAGAAGGCCCTTGACTAAGGGGCAATTTGGGATTCCTGTGATTTAAGAATAATCAGTTGAAGGTTAAAACAGTTGAGCTTTTGATAAATTATATTTTTAAAGAGTATAAAATCAATGTAAAAATGTTTGGTAAATTTTAAAATAAGTGATATAATCATATATAATGACAAAAATAGGTATGATATGAGGTGGTGGCAACAATAACTATGGTTGCGATATTGGTTGCATTGATAGTGGTGGTTGTGGTAAAGGCGTTGGCAGTGGCGGTGACAATGTTGGTGGTGCTGATGTTGGTAGTGGTATAAGGTTGGTGATTGCAGTTGTAGGTGGTAGACATGAAGGACGTGATGGTGGCGGTGGGGGTATGAAAGCAGCAATGGTGG